ACAAAGCTAAGCACTTTCGTAGTAAGATATCGCTTTTTCCTTCAATAAGGGATAACTTAATGAAATAAAACGGTTCTTTTCTTTGTCATAGCTTCTCTCTTAGTTGTCTCACGAGTTCATAGCAGCAAGACTAAAAATTTTCACTCTTTGGTCGGGTCTGCTTTCCTGTGGTATGCTTTTACGCGGAAGTCCAGGCGTTTCATGCATGATTATGGCTCGCTTAGTTTCACTGCTGAAGGACACACCGCGTAACCTAGACAACGGGAAAACGGATTTTAATGTTTTAATCTGAAATAGAGTAAGGCTTCCAACAGACATGCCGCACACCTGATAGCTAAAAATCGCAAATCTTTTACATAAACTTGAAGAACTGAGAATTTATTTACTAACAGTTAGCCTGCGAACAGGTTATCTGTTTGCAGAAAAAATAGATGACTTCGCTGACCAATTTTAGTCTTCAATTTTATGATTTTACGCGCGCTTTGAAATTCCCACAAATAATATAGCGCCTCATTAGCAACTTAAGACACTACAATTGTAGGTACGGAAGAAAACTACACACACCACTCCAGTTGTCTGGCAGTGATAAACGGCTACCTAAGCACGTCCCAACTGAAAAAAAATTACCTTTCGAAAATCACCAGTTAATCAATGAGTGACGCACAGTGTATAGAGAGCCCCATCTCTTATTGTAAAAGATCTGGAAACTTCAACCGTATCGCGCGTACGTCTTTGGTCTGTTTTATTGATATATTTGGATTGGGTGTATTTATTTTCTACAATACACAGTTTTTGAAAATAAAAATGTTGGACTCCCCGAAAAAAGGTATAATATTACACCCCTACCTCCCCATAACGGCCACTTCTCTACGACGGCCACTTCCTCTGTCCTCAAGATGGCCGTTGTGGAGAGGATCGACTCAAGTCCCCCGCGAGTGGAAGTCCGTCCGGACAGGAGCGGTGACTAAGCCAAAAACAAGATGGCGTCCTACGAGTGGTAAGTGATATCTCGAAACAATCTTGTGATTTTCTCCAATTTTCAGTACCATTATCTCCCGTCTTCTTTCTGCAGTCCATTTTATCCTCTAATCTGTCATTTTCGTAGAATAACATTTTTTTTATATGGCTGCTAGACATTTAAATCTAATCCAATATCAAGCTAGCGACATAAACAAGCTTTAGTGCTATCAGGGTTTCTTTAAATCTCGATCTTCGTCTTATTTTCAAATTTGGATCAGGCAAGTAAACGGTTCCCATGTACTCCACCATCACCTAGCTTCTCCCGTTCTTTTGATGAACTGATAAACATTTACGCTTGACTCATAAGCTTACACTTAAGAACTTGTTCTACTCTCTGCAGGGTTGCTCGTTCTAGGAACTATGGAAAGGAAACTAATCAGCTTGCTGGTGAGACTGTTCATGATCACCCACTGAAAATGGGTTCTGTTATTGTAAGTAGAAAACAACTCTATTGGTCAACCTTTATATAACTTAACCTCCACTCCCTAACTCCCGCCACCTCCCCCCCCCCTCCACCACTACCCTCTTTACCCATTCACAAAGTCTGTAGTTTCCATGCTCCACATTAATGATTGCCAGATTTAAACATATGTGCATTAAGTGAAATACAGACCTGTATAAAACGCTGATTTAAATCAGAGTGGCAACTATCAGTTTTGCCTCATTCTTGAATAGTTGTTATTCTTACATGTATTTACCTGTAAATCAGCAATCTGAGTTGCCTTTAAGTTTCGTGGATCCCTGCCTTATGGCAAGTTCAACCCCACTAATATGGCTACATTATTACTATGGCCACATTGCTATTATGGCCACTTTATTCTGGCTTGGACAAAAGCTCAGTCAGTCATTTTCTTACTGAAATAACCCCTTAAATAAGGTCACCATGCTAATACAGCCAGATTTTTGCAGCCTGTTGGTGACCAGATTAATGGGGTTGCACTATAATACAAAATCCAAGATAGCTTGTTTAGACAGATTGCTAAATTTATCATGTAAACAATTTGTTTCAGAATATAGACAACACCTGGAAAAAGTCAAGTACCCCATCTGATAATTCGTCAAATGGTTTATCAGTAACAGATCCCCTGAGCATGATTCAAGCTAAACCAGACACTTTTGATGGGCTCGATCCACTCTCCATATTTGCTGCTCAGGAAGCCAATACAAAGCAGGCTGTACCTGTTTCTGCTCCAGTGTCCAAGAAACAGCGGGTTTGTATGCATTTCTTGCAAAAACTTTTGGATGATTTTAATTTCGGACAAAAAAAGGGTCCGAAAATAAAACTGGCCGAAATTGTTAAGTGTCCTAAATTTTAAGAGACCAAAATATTTACAGTACAGTATGAAGCGTTTAAGTAGCTCCAAAGCTCTTAGTTTCCTTTATGGAGTGAACTCTAGGTGAGACACTGCTTGAGATACGTAATGGCTTGATACAAATCACTGTGTTACTATGGTGTTATTTTCGCATCAGTTAACCTCTAAAACCTTGAGGGTGTAGTAAAACTATTATTTTCACAGATGTTGCTTCAGTCTAATTCATGTTTTGTAGGGGTAGACTTGCTTGAGCTACGTTTTATCTGTCTCCGAAAATTAAATGTCCGAAATAAAATGTCCAAATTTAGTTGATGTGTCAAACAGTCAGGAAAATAGCAATCACAAAGTGACAAAATTCAAAGACTTGTTAAGAAAAAATGACTTTGGTTATAAAACTGACAATTGGTAGAAAGTTAGGTACTATGTTATAATTATAATGCTTCATAATGATAATGATCGGGACATTATTAAATTTCCATGTTCTACGATTTGGTGACAATTCTTTTGTTTTGTTTAAACAGAGACCAAAACCTAAACAAAACAACCAACTCAATTTTTTTTTGAAAGATCACAAATCAATAATCTCATCTAGCCTAACAAACAAAAATAACTTATTCTGGCAGAAAATAACCAGTAAGCTGTGAAACATGAAAAAGAAATTTTCAAAGGGTTCTGCTGGGACATGCCAACTACATGTAGCTTATAACATTAAAATGCTTTATCTTCAATAAGTGTTACGTGGAATTTTATTTTATTTTATTTTATTTCTGGTTTCTTTTCTTTTTTTAAAACTATAATTTCCTTTTTCACAGGCATCTTCTCTGTCTAAGGAACAGTCTGGCAAAAGTGAAAAAGAGGACGACTTTTTTGAACCTTGGTCCAACAAGAGAACTGGAATCCTTGCTAAATACACAACATCTGAGAAACTGTCTATTACTACAGTAAGCTACAATACTCCATACCTGTACATACCTGTATTTGTAAATTTTTGACTGTGATATTTATCTACATGTATAACAGATTACTGTGATGGCTACATTGTAAGTCTATCTGCCTTTTAGTTCTGTGTTTAAAATATGAATGATTCTCAGTGACTGTTTTGCATTTATTAAAATTATATTATGTATTCTAGTTAGTAATATTATATTATTGTATTCTCATTTGCTGTCTGTTAACATCAAGGCACTGTATAGATTTTGCCAAGACTGATATGGCTAAATTTGTACTTTCAATTTTCATGTTTTGTTCTGAACCAGAAATCTTATCATTGGAAACTATAAAAGTGTATTTGAACAAATCCATTTGGAATTAATGCGAACATTTCACACAATGCCTTAAGAAATCTTTGAAATATCTTTTTACGTATTAATTGTTTTAATTTGTATTTTTACTTACAGAGTTTCTTGTCATCATCTGATAAAGACAAAAGTGAGTTAAATTTAATACTTTTTGGATTACTTTGGGAGTGTATCATAAGAGTAACCATATTCATGTACCCTTGGAAAAATCAGCAACTAGCAATGTTTTCAGCTCAAACTCTTAGAATTATTGAAAAACATGAAAGCTGTATGATTCTACACTAGGAGTATGGCTACTCTGTGCTGGATGGGATGTTATTCCATCAGAAGCTACCCCACTCTGGAAACTTTTGTCAGGAACTGAGAAAAATGTTTACAGTCGCTACCTATTTATGTTCATAAGCATCATGAGAGTATTTAGTATCTTGCCAAAAGCATAATGCAATGACCACAGCCAGTCTTGAATGGGGATTTACTAGATCCAGAGTCCAGCAAACACTTGGTACATACACATTGCACCTGAATGAACTACATCCTTTAACTTTAATACAAGTTTTAAAGGACAGTGTGTAATTTTCAAATCTTAACACAATACAACATTTCTACTGACTCATAGTGATGTTTACTTTCTAGTTGTAATCAAGCAGCAGACGACAGTCACAGATAAAGTAAAACACAGGCTGGAAGACCTAAATGACTTTGAAGAGGTGACTGTAAAATTGTACCACATGGTGTTGTTCCTCAAAATATCCATACCCCTCCCATGGCAGGTTTTTTTGGTTTGACCCCCAACCCCATCCCCCTGGGGATTTCAGTTTTGATTCATGCTTTTCTTCAAAAATAACTCTCAGTATCAAACCGGAAAAGCTGACTGCAACTCATGTTATTGACATTTTATTTATATAAGCAAGAAATTATTTATTATTTATTGATCTCCTGTATACACTTAGTGTTTGATATAAACTCCAAGGCTAGAAACAGAATAGTTATGACTGTATAAGAAATATTATTTGTCTGAAACCATGAGACAAAAAACAAATTTTGTTCACAAAATAACTCAGCCTTTGTTATGTTTTTCAGGGTTCAGTCAAAGAAATGCTGAATCTTAGTCAGCAAGATTATGTCAAGAGAATTGAGGAATTGAATCAGGTAAACACCAAATAATATAAGTAGTTGTGTTCATAGATACAATTCTTATGTAGTCTAATAATTGTAAATTATTTTGTTGACAGGCTTTGATCACAGCTTGGGAATCTGACCAGAGAGTGAAGGCTCTTAAGATTGCCATACAGGTCTGTATGATTTATCGCCAAATTTGTGATAAACATAGATAAATGGCTTCCAAACAAGCTAACAAGCATAGTATTTTGATGTTTAATTTCTTTCAGCGATGACATAGCTTGCATGATTAAGACATTTTCAGTGCAATAGTGATTATAACAAACTCCAGATCAGACCTTATTGGGTTAGATAGGATCAGCTAAATTGTATCAGATTAAATATCAATAAGATAATTAACTATAATTTAAAAACCTGGCTGACATTTGGCCATGTGGATTGTAAAAGAGCATAGCTTCACACTCAGGAACTTGGAGGATGTATTTAGTCCAGCCCAGGTTTAATCAGTTATTTATTAATTATTATCAATTTTCAGTGTTCAAAACTTCTTGCTGATGTATCTGTGATTCAGTTTTACCCAAGCAAGTTCGTTCTCGTCACAGATATACTGGACACTTTTGGTAAGGTATTTTTCATTGAACTGATATCATACATGTAGGAGTAATATGATTGTATATTATTAAACACAAACCCTATTTGGTTGCTGTTAGACAGTTCTGAATGTTTCTTTTGCAGGAAAACTGGTTTATGAAAGAATATTCCGCAAATCTAGCATCTTTACGCCAGGCAGTAACTTACCCACCATGCTCCCAGGTAAGAAATCTGTCTGTTATAAAAGGTTGTAAGAACTCAGGGGTTTCATTAGGCCAGGCAGCAGCAAATTGACCCACTGAGAGGATGGTTTTGCCCATCTGGTTTACCATCTAGAGGAAAGTTTATCTTATAAAGAAGTTCGGTTGAAAAAGTGTTGCCTGCCTGTGAAAACCAGGCTCCCTCCTGCTGGAAACATTAATGAAACCCCTGAGAACTGGAAAGTACTACACACTTTTTTTTTTTGGAGGGAGAGGGGAGAGGATTTAGAAAGTTACCCAAGATTCAAAATGAACTACTTAATACAAATTTGACTTTGTGTAATAGGCACAAAAACGCCAAAGTGTAGAATAACATTTGTACACATATAGTTAACTCCTGATAACTCAAACCTTGAATGGAAATTGAAAAAGGTTTGAGTTAGTGGCCAGGGATGTTCAAGTTACTGAGAGTAAATTACAGTTATTGTATGATCGAAATCCAGGTGAAATCAATTTTGGTTGAAATTAGTGTGAGGTTTGAGTTAGTGGGAGTTCAAGTTATTACGAGTCGACTGTATATGTAAGCCCAAAGCTCAAGGTTTTGGTTAAAAAATGGAGACTGGATGTTGACCACTCTTAGTAGTCAGAGCTAATGAATTTTTCTTCTTATTTCTGTTTGATAGAAAAATTCACTCCTGACCAGGTGCCAGACTCTGCTAAAGAAACATGTAGAAACTGGTTTTACAAGATCGCATCAGTGCGGGAGCTTATTCCTCGATTGTATCCTTGAAACTTGTCATGTTCTACTTTGTGTGAGATTCAGGAAAAAAGAGTTTCATCCTGACCTATTTTCTTCTGCAAGGCACTTCTTTGACAAGACATGTACTTTCTTGACCAACTTTAGTTAATAATTTATGCACTATAGGGGAAGTGCCTCAAACAT